AGGACGCCTGGGGCAGAGCAGCTGGGGTGCTGCCGGGTTGGTCCAGTAGCACCCAGAGTGGCGCTACGGGACCAACCGGCAGCGCCCCAGCTGCTGTACCACAGGCGTCCGGACAAAGTGAAGTTGCGCTTGGTGACACCCTCAGATATTGATCTCTAGGGTGTTCAAATATGGGGAGACATGGACATAGCTTTGCATGGCTTCTGTACTTCAAGAACAGGTTAATTTAAATATCTGAATTTAAAAATTCAGGTTGGGTACCTCAAGGGATTAGTGTGGTGTCTTTCCAGAACCCTAGTTCAATTATTTTTTCTATATACAGGCAGTCCCCGAGTTACGCGGATCCGACCTAGGTCGGATCCGCGTAACTCGGGGACTGCCTGTATATAGAAAAAATAATTGAACTAGGGTTCTGGAAAGACACCACACTAATCCCTTGAGGTACCCAACCTGAATTTTTAAATTCAGATATTTAAATTAACCTGTTCTTGAAGTACAGAAGCCATGCAAAGCTATGTCCATGTCTCCCCATATTTGAACACCCTAGAGATCAATATCTGAGGGTGTCACCAAGCGCAACTTCACAGCAGTATCAAAAACACACCAACCAATGCCTTTAACCTGTTTGGGATCAACAGTTACAGTTTTCTGTAGTTTGTTCCTCACTCAATACTAAAATCACATCTACAACAAAAACCTTCTTACTTACTGTGCTGACAAAGTATTGACACAGATTTGCATTTGTACCTGAGGCAAGTTGGTGAAGTTATGACTTCTACAAAGTAGGCTTAAAAAACCAAACCCATACCAAGCTAATGCTTATGGTATGATATTGCCCAAGAAAACAATTTAGCTTAACTAAAACATTTCCCCCATTCCAGTTGGGTGAAGGCCCTTTCTTCAGTAATGTTTCCCATGTGGGTTTTAATGGGGTCCATACCTCTCCCCATGCCACCCAAAAAAATAAAAAACCCACAAAGCATACACAAACTAATAGGTTTTGCTGAAGTAAGAGAATATTTTAAAATAGCAGAGAATCCATTTAGCAACATTTGTTAAAATGTTTTTAGTATATGCACAGTGGAAAGGATTCAGAGCAAAGTCATGGGCGTGTTACTTGCAGTCAGAAGCAAGAAGCACTGCCATATTATTGAAGCAGGGATTTAGAGCAAAATTACGCAGCATTTGCTGTGGAATTAGTGTGTAAGATGTTAGCATTCAAGCAGCAGGCTATCAAATTTACACTTTGTCAAATGTTTCATTTGCTCACCACACTCTTCAACTGCTATGTTTTGTTCTGAAGCCTTGAATGCTTTTGCAGCGGTGGTACCACTTACAAGTCCACCTACAGCATTCCAATTATTCACAGTTACACTGGGATGAACTTGGCTTATGGCTGAGGCTTTATGCTCAATTTCAGATGTTTTAAGTTTGGTTTGCTTCTGTCCAGATGCACTTAAATCATAAGTTAGGAGCGACTCTTCCAAGGGATGGCCTAAACAAACAGCAGGAGGAATTACTTTTATTTGGTTAATCACCTTTGTGAGTGTTCTCCCCACAAATCATAATCCCACTTCCTCAAAGATGTGTCAAGTCGCACTTAATGGTACCAAGTAATGAAACTGATGGCCGATTCTCCAGAGCGGCTTGTGCTCATTCAGGACACCAAACAATTCAACTCAAGCATCTTTTACTAGAACATGAGCCTGCCCAGCACAGGGGGTAGGAATGCACTTTTATCTTGTGTTTATAATAAGCAGGACCGGAAATACACTTGTTGCTACATAGCCACAGCCTGGCTTCAGCTGCAGCAGCCGCCCGCCATGCAGCCCACCCCGGGAACAGCCGGGCAGCCACCAGCCCCATGGCAGCTGCCGAAGCTGAAGCCTGGGCTGTGGTGTGAATGCTCCCAGGGTCAGGGCTGAGACCAGTACTGGCCCCTGAAGCAGCTGGAACTGAAGCTGGGCTGTGGTGCAGGAGCCATCCGCCACGTGGCCTACCCCGGGAGCAGCTGGGCAGCCACCCTAAGGTCCTGCCTCCCCCCCATTCTCCCACCAAGCCCACCACCAGCAGCAGCTTATCTTCCACATCCAAAGAAGAGTGCTGCTGCACAAGGAGGTGGGCAGGATTACACTTCTTTGTGCGTGCCTGTGCAGGAGCACACCCTGGAGCTGTGGTGTCCAACCAGTTCTGTAGCAAACTAGCCACACTCAACCGGCCAGATAACCACATGTGGCTAGAAACTAGCATGTTGAACACCACGGTTATAAACCGTTTATTGGTAGTAGTGATGTCAGCTTATAACATGAATAAGTTTCAGGTCCTATGGTTTGATCCATCCAATACCAGATTATACAAGCAATTGGTGATGTGCCAGTGTTTCTTCTACTCCCACATATTCATCCCAGTGAGGCTCTTCTCTGTGCATCCATTATTGAAAGGCCCTGGGTATTCTGCATGAAGCAGACTAAGGGAACACAGAAATTGTTTGCCTGGGGGGGGGGGGGGGGGGGGGGGGGGGAAGAGGCATGAGGGTTTCTCAAAAATCAAAAAGGGGGCGTGATGCCAAAAAGTTTGGGAACCACTGCCCAGCGGCTGCCAAAAGAGCCACATTTGGCTCATGAGCCATAGATTGCCGACCGCTGCTGTAGACTGAGCTGTTTATAATGAGGACTCACATGCATTCCACTTATCTTCCTTTAGGCCCACACAAATTCTCCACCTGCACATGCTAGAATATCGTCACCTGCCTTGGGCAGGATAGAAGGAACTGTGGGATCATGATCGCTGATTTTCTCTTATAGTTCAGAATGTTTTCACCCCAAATTATAGAAAGGTTTTAGAATTATCTGAAATCATCTGCTAAATGCCCCCCACAGCCATGAGCAGAATTTTATTGGGAATTAATACAAACTTGTTCCAATGTATCCATTTATCATTTACCTGTAGGTAATTTTTGTTCAATTGTATTACAAACAGGACTGTTACAAACAAGGAACGTACTGTTTCCATACAAATACTATCTCCAGTTGCAGAGCTAATGAAGATATGATGGGTTACCTGTTTTATGGGTATTGTGCGAAGATTCAGATGTAGAGAAATAAGGAACCTGCCCAATGGAATCATGCAGGATGGAGGATACTGGAATCTGGACTGATGGCAGAGGTGTGACTACAGCCTTTTCTGAAAGTGGTTGCCGAGCCTGGGTGGTAGGGTGGAAAGACTGAAAAGCCTGGAAAGAGGACTGAGGCACCAACAGTGGGGGTTCAACAGTCCCTTGTATAAAGTCACTAAATTCTTCATCATCAAGAAAAGCAGAAGGCTGTGAGACAGATACAGCAGAATGGGATGGTGTAGGGTGATCTGTAAAATGGAATGAATACACGCAATGGAAGGCAATGAGGTAAAGAAACTTGATTGGGTGGAAAGGTAGAGACAACAGTTTCCAAAATTGGCAGTTCTTAAATGTAAAAAACAGTGGCTGGGAAAAGTCAGAAGTATATGCAGAACTATTTGACCAAAATAATGAGAATATTTACCATTTTATCATTCAGGTTCAACTGATCACAGTAATGCAAGGAAAAATTCAGTGGCCTTTTTCCATCATAAACCCCTCTTCTAGGTTTTTATAAAACTTGTCCAATCGGGTTGAAACTGGGCTATATATAAAGGTTCCCCCACCTTTTATGTTAAGGAAATTTAAAACAAATGGAACCCATGTTGTGTTTAGAGCAGTGAACTGGGACTTGGGAAATGTGAATTCTTTTCTCAACTCTACCAGTAATTCGTTGTTACACTTTAGGCAAATCACTTAAACCCTCTTCCCTCCCCCGCCCCCATATCCCCACCTATAAATCAGGGCTAATATTGACTTTGGTAAGGCACTTCTACGGAAATGCAAAGTACATTAAACAGACTTGAAGTAATCACCAGGTTATTCTTACAGGCGAAGATATTCTGAAGTGATTGGTAATTTCGGATGCCTAACTTGAGACACCTTAATATGTCCCCACCCTTTGAAAATCAGGCCCTTTTAAGGTGTCAAGCTCAGAATCTAAATATTCAGGAACCCAAATTCACTAGTCATTTCTGAAAATTTTGGCCACAGTACTCAAGTTATGTCATTCTAAAGGTGGCAGTTCTAGAGTAATTTGGTCAGATTTAAAAGCTATATTAGAAAAAAATACCAGATTTGTAGGCACCACAGTATAAGTCAAGCACAGCACGACCATCACTGACTTTATTTACATGCATTTGGGCTAACCACTTTATCCTCCAATGGTTCTGTTTCATTGTACCACTTACATGTTTTTCCATCAACACAAACAAAGCCTTCAAATAAATCTGTTTGTTAGGGGTAAGCAGTCAAGCTTTATATTCCATATACTATTCCATCCTTAACATAATTGCTCTCTTTAAATATATTAGAAGGATAAATACCAGGAAGGGAGAGGAATTATTTAAGCTTAATACTAAAGTGGACACAAGAACAAATGGATATAAACTGGCTATTAGGAAGTTTAGACTCGAAATTAGACGAAGGTTTCTAACCATTAGAGGAGTGAAGTTCTGGAACAGCCTTCCAAGGGAAATAATGGGGGCAAAAGACCTATCTGGCTTCAAGATTAAGCTAGATGGGTTTATGAAGGGGATGGTTTGATGGGATAACATGATCTTGGCAACTAATTGACCTTTCACTATCAGTGGTAAATAGGCCAATGGTGGGATGATAGGAGTTACTACAGAGAACTTTTTCCTGGGTGTCTGGCTGGTGAGTCTTGCCCACATGCTCAGGCTTCAGCTGATCACCATATTTGGGGTCGGGAAGGAATTTTCCTCCAGGGTAGATCGTCAGAGGCCCTGGAGGTTTTTCGCCTTTCTATGTAGCATGGGGCACAGATCACTTGCTGGAGGATTCTCTGAATCTTGGGGTCCTTAAACCATTTGAGGACTTCAATATCTGAGATATAGGTGAGAGGATTATTCTAGGAGAGGGTCTGTGAGATTCTGTGGCCTGCACTGTGCAGGGGGTCAGACTAGATGATCATAATGGTCCCTTCTGACCTTAAAGTCTGAGTCAAACGGGGAGTGCATTAGGCATGAAAACACTGCTCTCCGAGTCAATTTTCAATATGTGAAAATAGGAAAACTGAAACATAAGAAGCATAAGAGGCAGCAAATGCAGCTTCCTGACAAGTTATTGACCATAGTGGCACAACACCACAAATAACTTCACAGAATTATATGAACGGAAGTGACAGTTCCTTTAATTCAACACTTTGAGAAATAACACTAAGAGTTCGAGACCACTGGTTTGAATGCGAGAAAAATTCCACACACAAAAAAAGTAGCATGAACAAAAGTCCCTTGACGGGAATAAAACAACATATAAATACCGTCTTTTCATAAGCAACATTATTCTGCTCCATAGAGTTGGTTTAAATCACACAGCCTGTGTTGCTAAAGGTCAATATACTTCATGTCACTATTTCATATCCCTCAATTTTATCTTCTGTATTACGTTACTGAACTAACTCATGTCCATTCAATTTTAATTCAAAGAAAAAGTTATTTTTTCCAAGTCTGGAGTATTGTGACATACTTTATCGATCCCAATTACTTCATGTTCAATAACACGATTAATTGCTTTAAATTGAGTTTTAAGAATCAAATAAAAGCTACTGTGGCTGACAGCTTGATTTTTCATATAATATAAAGACGGTTTGTTTGCCATCTCTTTCCTACAATGATTGCCAATTCTGGTAGCTGATTTAACATACCCTGACACAATCCTGTTGAGCACCAGCAACCCACAAGTTTGGGAGATACATGGAACACAGCAGTGGGTAATTCCACCATACCTCCATGTAAAGGACTCTGTGAAGCTGGAACTCTTTACATCTCCATCCAATAGTTTGAAATGAAGTCCTACTAGAACAGATCTGACAGATTTACCGGGGTCTATATACAAAACAAATTCCTTACAAATACCACTGGTCAAGGTATTTTCATTCCTCAGTGGCTTGTCAGTGATAAGTATCAGAGGGGTAGCCGTGTTAGTCTGAATCTGCAAAAGCGACGAGGAGTCCTGTGGCACCTTATAGACTAACTGAGTTAGTCTATAGGTGCCACAGGACTCCTCGTCGCTTTTGTCAGTGATATTTAGCCCAAATAACTTTAGGCTGCATTGTTCGTATCTCTCTCTACTAAACGAGCATGAAAGACACCCAGTTTTTAGACAGGAATTGTAATGGAATCTGTTGCTGGAACACTTGTCAACCATTTTTAAGATGCCAAGGTAGAAAGGGACTCTCCACTCATTTGAACAGTTTTCTGCTCAGGTTCCTTGCATTCATCAGTCATTTTAGTTGTACAGTTCAGAAGAACACTGCTAGGGAATTGTCGAACTTGCAAGATAATGAAAAGTTATTACCCGAACTTGTGAGCAACTTGAAGACCACCAACAAAGAGTCAGAAAGAAAATACATAGTGATGGAAAAATTAACTGGGGACAAACTTAGCTAATTTGAAAAGTGATTTCAGGCAGGACAAAGGCATAATGTTCCCCACACATAATAATTCCTCTGGAGATGGATTTTTAAAAGTTTTAGCTTTCCCCATGTTCAGATAATGAAATCTGAGCAAGCTATCAAAGTATTGTGAAATAACTGTATAGTCTTTTAACACTGCTTAGCATGTATATAGTGCTTTTCAGCATCAACACATTCTACAAACACTAATTAGTCATTTGACTAGAAAAAAGAAACAATTGTAACATTTAGAAGTGCAAAGTATGAGGGAAGTTGGTAGATGCTACTGCTCAGTGTTAACACAAACTAAAGTTGTCAAATTGGTATTTTTTAAAGGAAATATTAATAAATTCTTGGATTAAATATTAGATCACAGCTTTTACCCATATATTTTATAAAGCATACTGCAGCTACTATGAAAGCTTCAGTTTACTGAATCATATGCAACAACAGTTCAGCTCAGACTACCTAAATAAAAAGTCTCCTCCGTGAATTAAGGGTCTTTGCAGACATGAAGCAGTACAACAGTGCATTCTTATTTTCAACCAAAGATAAAATACCTGGTTTTTTTGGATGCGATGCTGGAGTAGGGTGCATTTTAGCATCCCTGGAAAACCCATCTAAGTTTCCTTTAATAGCTTCCAAAGCATCATCTCTGCTCTTCTCACCTGTCTGAAATATTATAAAACAGTTGCTCTGAAAATGTCAGTGTACAGCAATTCAGAATCTTCTTTGTACATTTATAATTGTTTTGTCTGAAAAAATAGCAATATTTGTTTTTAAAAAAGTCACAAAAATTAAGCTCTATTTTTCAGAGGTACTTCAGTAAAACACAAAAAGAAGTCCCTTTGCTTATAACAATGTATTCCACAGGTTACATAACCATAACAGTAACAATTTGTCACCCTTTGGCATTTACACATTGTAAAATGGGACTGGAAAAAGTATGTCCAAGCTCTGAAAACATACTGTTTAGCAAGACTCCTTGTACTGTTTACATGCTGGAAATTAACCATGGAAAACAGGTCAAACTGTTTTTAATAATGTATCTTATGAACAAGTACAAGAGACCCTGAGAGAGAAACTATTAATCCAAACAAAGAGGGCCTAACTAATATCACTCAAGAACTGATGAAATCATTCTTGGTAAAAACAGAAGACATGGAGCCAGAAATTAATAAACCAAAATTGCTGAGGTGAATATTAAGCCGGTGCACAAAATAATGAAGGGATGAGCAATGCCACACTCCTTTTCCAGGTTCTTAAGAAGAAACTTTGAAAAAAATATCAACTGCCCCAATGCATCCCAGCTCATATCATCTCAGCTTCTATGAGCCCAAGACTGAGCAGATCAGAACAATAAGACTTTCTTCCAGACTAGGGATGTTAAATTGCTTGTAATCAGCTAATTGAGTAGTCCGGTGAATTTCCATGGACTACTCAATTAGTTGATAAGTGGGGAAACTGCAGAGCATCAGAGGAGTTAGCCTCCAGCCCTGGGAGCTAACCCCACTGCAGCTCTGCCTTTTAAGTGTATTAAGAGTCGCCAGTTTGATTGGCAGAATCACTCAAATTCCAGCTTCAATAATAAATAGCTGTTTTAAATGCTTTGTTTTTTCTTGCGTTTTATCTATACATTTTCAACTACAGCTTTTGGGTGTTTGCCAACAAACTGAATGAAATCACAGCCCCTGTAAAAACACATACACAGCCCTAAACCAAAGTATTACTGTTATAATGCTAGACACCAAAGGAGTTTATAAACACTGTTAACTAATTTGATCCTTGAGGTCAATAATACAATATTTACTTGAACTGTACCACAACTTGAGAGCAGAGAGTCCAACTAATCAACATATTGACAAGTGTTTAGAATCACAGAATACTAGGACTGGAAGGCATCTTGAGAGGTCATTGCGTCCAGTCCCCTGCCCTCATGGCAGGACCAGTATTGCCTAGATCATCCCTGATAGACATTTATCTAACCTGCTCTTAAATATCTCCAGAGATGGAGATTCCACAACCTCCCTGGGCAATTTATTCCAGTGTTTAACCACCCTGACAGTTAGAAACTGTTTCCTAATGTCCAGCCTAAACCTCCCTTGCTGCAGTTGAGCCCATTGCTTCTTGTTCTATCCTCAGAGGCCAAAGAGATCAATTTTTCTCCCTTGTCCTTGTGACACCCTTTTAGATACCTGAAAACCGCTACCATGTCCCCTCTCAATCTTCTCTTTTCCAAACTAAACAAGCCCAATTCTTTCAGTCTTCCTTCATAGGTCATGTTCTCTAGACCTTTAATCATTCTTGTTGCTCTATGTGTTGTGGAAACCTACTTTGCTCCCAAACTAGGTTGTTTTCTTTTTCAAAAGTCGATGGACTGTTTGTTGAGTTACCACTGAGAGGAAAAAGGGATTTTCTATCCTCAGACCTGGGTCAAAGCCTTATGACAATGACCTACCCAGACCACAGTGGCAGGAAAAGAGGTACTACTATAAAAGGCACTCTTTTTGTGTGGTTACAAATGTTACAGCAGCAGAGAAGACAGTCTATCATTAGAGCAGCAGGGAGATGCAGAAGAGTGAACTTATGAAGACAACAAAGGAAATGGATTCATTTTGCAATACCAGATTTGTCTTGTTTTGTTTATCAGGAGAGATGCTATGTACAAAGAATTAAAACCAGAGGCCCGATACATAGCTTATTGAGAGCTAGACTCTCTTTGGACTTCAACAGGCTTCATACCAGGCCTTTGATTGGGAAGGTGTAAAAGAAAAAATCTGTTTCTTCCCTAGTACATAAAAGCTAGAGGTTTGTTTGTTTTTTTAAAATCAGACAATAAATGTGATTTACAATTTACCTTTGGTTTCACACTGCTTAAGAGTCTCAGCTTTTGTTTCTGCTCTTCAAATTGGCGTCGTTTTCTTTCTTCTTCTAAGAATTTTTGCTGGTGTTCAAACCTTTTTCTAAAGTAAAACAATATCAAACATACAAATTAAGCATTAGGCAATGACAGCTTCCATGCCAACTTTCTGAACACAGGTCACTACTAATCAGAGTTTCACATTCCTTCCCTTTTCACCGATGCTTTGACACACACTTCACCACCGCCTCATGAAATTGGCAGAAAATAGCATATGCCACCAAGAGCCACATACACAGCCTTCAAATACATGGATGGTCTGCAACTAACTTAACATTTTAGAATCCTAAATTTAGTAAGAATTTCTCTAAAATAGAAGGGTGGCTTTTAATGCATAAAATGAGCCAGAGAATGCTCGCCCACCTACCCAAATAAGATTTTGCCAGCAGCATTAAAGCATCACTTACTGTTGCTCTTCTGCAAATTGTTTCTGCATGTCGGGGGTGTATTGTGGAGCTGCTGGGCGCATTCCTAAGAAAGACGCCTGTCCCATAAAAGGCATTCCAGTTGCTTGCATAGCCCCAAGGGGCATGCCACCCTATAACAATAAAACACATCTGTATCATGTACAGCAATATAAAAATCTGGCAACTGAGCTATGTCAGGTTGTGAACTAGTTAGAATTCATAAAAATAAGAAGTGTCAGGTCTCTTCAGTCCTTGGACAGAAGATTTCCAGGGATAACCGAAGTGCTCTCTGCAGCAAGAAAAAGCGTTGGTTATTCAGCAGGTGCTGCTCCTCTCTGGCAGTACTGAACCAATGTTCTTAGCTGGTACTAGCAAGGTGCTGATCTTCTGAAACAAAAAAAACCTCCCCAAAATACAAACCCAAAACACCTCATGATCCTGACCACATAATTAAAAATCTCCATGGAACTTCTCTCAAGAGTAGGGTTGTTAACTCAAATGTCATGACCCACAAAGTCTCTCCTTTAATTTCAATATTTTCTTCTTTCCTTCCTGTCCTAAATGATTGTATAGCATGTGTGTTGCGTTAAACTAATGTCACGTTCCACACTAGTTCAACAGAAGTGGTGTACAAAGCAATTCCTAGACATGTACATGTTGAACCTCCTAAATCTGGGATTCTCTGGTCCGCCAACATCTGTGGTCTGGGAGAGGGAGCTGACCAGGAGTCCCGCAGCCAGGAGCCCCAGCCTGCGCCGGACAGCAGTGGGTCCAGCCACCAGTAGGGGAGCCCTGTCCCTGGGGGACCCCAGCCAAGCTGGCCAGTAGCAGCTGGGGAGCCGTCCTATCCGCAGGGAGCCCTGGTTGGGCTGGCAGCAGCAGAGCCAGAGGTAGTCAGGGAGCTCCAGTACTGGGGAGCCCCTGCACATACCCAGCAGCAGCGGGGCCGGAGCCCGGACCAAAAGCAGAGCCAGCAGCAGTAAAAGGTGGCAGGGGACCTCCCCAGTCTGGCAAATTCCTCATTTGGGACTGGTCAGTCCCCGAGGGCGCCAGACCAGGCAGGTCCGATATGTAGTTTGAACAGTCAAAGTGCGTCAATTACTTTTGGACCCCTTTAGAGAAAGGCATGTGTAGGTACACACACAAACAAGATTTCCTGACCTGGGTAAATTATTATTTTCACTGCTTTAGGAAATAAATGTAATAAAATCACTAAAGTTTATCTCTTCTTAAAATGGCTTTCTTTTACATATAGTCTAGTACCAATCCCTAAACTATTATGTTTTCAGGATCAGTTTATAGATGCACTGATTAAGTTAAACATTAAAAATGATACTGCTAGTTGTATGGACAGATCTGTGACCAGTACATTTACAATTGGGTCAAAGCTACAACATTTGTTTTCAGGTTCCCTTGTACAAAACTACATTTTATTTTAATACTAGAACTAGATTTAGGTAACTTAAGTTCATTAAGTAGCTTATGTTTGATTCTATCCTATGAAATTTAACAATATTTCACTATAGGTTTACTGTTAATTGTTCTGTAATCCAGGATGAAATTTTTATTCATAAATTAAGCTATTACTGTTACCATTGCAGATATATTCAAGATCACATGAAGGGAAAAAAGAAAAACCCTGAAAAATACATTTTTCTTCTGTAGTTTTATAAAATTCGCTATCCATTAAACCAAAGAGAGAGAGAGAGAGAGAGAGAGAGCGTATTTTTTTCCTGTGAGATGACACAGTGATATCATCACGTCACTCAGTGTCCCACTGCCTCCTCTGCCCTTAGCCACCCTGACTCCTCCCTCCCACCCTGCCCCTGCTCCACTGCCTGCCCTCCCCCTTCGCGGGGGGTGAGTGTGGGCCACCCTTCCTCCTCCCCCAACCCTGGGGGACTGGGAGCCTCTCCCCTCCCCAGTGTTCAGAGGGGGACGGGAGCTGCAAGAGCCGCATGCCCTCCCTGCACCCCCAGCCCTGTCACACATCCTTGGCCAAGACCCTGCACCTCCAGCCCCCTCACTCACCTCTTCCACCAAGACCCCGCACCCTCAGCCTGCTCCTGTCTCCTCCCCCTCTGGCCAGACACTTATGTCCAGTGTGCTCCTGCGCCCTCCTCCTAAGGCCAGACACCTACCCCCAGAGAGAGGGGGATTGGTGAGCATGGGGTGCAGCCCCCTGTGTGTGTGTGTGTGTGTGTGTGTGTGTGTGTGTGTGTGTGTGTGTGGATATATTCAATTTGCTATACAAGGCAACTTTATTAGATTTATGTTTTCATGGTTAGACAAGTGGAGATTTATAAGTAAGAATGGCAGGTATCAGAGGACAGACAAATGAAACTTCTTCAAAAATTATCAAGCTCTCCAGCCCCATGGTGCTAAATTGCTCACATCATGCTGTGATTTTACTTTTCAGCAATAAGCTATATAAAATGCACTTTTCCCCTTTAATAATGTGGGAAGAATCTTGAGACGATTATAAGGAGTTATGTAGGAGGAAAGTTACTTCAAGTGGGCAAAAAGGAGAGAGATTCAAGACAAAAACTGCAGGAGGAAGAATCATTCAGATAACTGAGCTGATCAAAAGGAAGGAAATTTACAGTATTAGAAAAATTCCAAAACGTCAGCTGCTCCCTGTGTCCTTGGGGCCTTGTTTGATGATTCTGCAAATAACCAAGTACATTTACAATATTCTATAGATAACTCGCATATATAAATGACAAAAAAGGCAAAATGCTGAGATCACAATAGGGGTGATCACAGTAAATATAATGAACAGACCAATGGATGTTTCCAATAAATAGTATCAGAGGGGTAGCCGGGTTAGTCTGAATCTGCAAAAGCATCTGACGAAGTGGGTCTTTGCCCACGAAAGCTTATGCTCCTATACTTCAGTTAGTCTATAAGGTGCCACAGGACTCCTCGCCGCTTTTCCAATTAACAGCTCATTTCAAATATTAGATAATACACTGTCTTAGTAGACAGTAAGCAAAGGGAAAACAGGAAGGGTGAAACAAGACAAAAAAGTATGCTGTTGGAGTGGTAGATGACAGAAGCTATTTAACACTCAACTGTACTGATGCTAGTATCAGAAATATTTAACATAAAGGAATGGTGTTCAACCTCCCTCTGACACTGACATTTTGTTTCCATTACTTTTCAGTGCCTTCTTTCCTCCCACAGAACAACCTTTCTCGTTGTTGCATTTACTGCAGCAACAGATACAAAGAAGTTAAAGTCCAGGTTCTGACATCTAAGGGCAAACTACAATACCCAATTTATTTTAAGCATTATCAATTTTGTTCTCCTCCCCCATCCCCGACCTTGGCTCATTATTGCTCCCAGTTATGACATTGAAAAATGGATGCTGAGCTCCCACTGCCTCACCCACTTCCCACACTATTTACCAAGATCACAAGGAGACTTACAGAATCTCACAAGTGTCATAACAATTATAAAATACTCATGAAGCCAAAATTAGGCAACGCTATGAGGACACCTGCTTATGGGCTACTGCCCACCTCTTCATTCTAAGATCACCTTCTTCACTATCCTCCCACCCCAGAAATGGCAGAACCCTTGACACTTCTGATTTCAGAGACCAGCTATCAACAGCCTTACTGACACACATATTCAAGCATCTATCATCAGAGGCTGGAAATGGATGACAGGAGAAGGATCACTTGAGATTTCATTTCACATCTACTGAAAACAAATGTTATGTACCTGCATAGTCAAAGGTCCAGGAGACATCTGAGAGCCGTAATTCATTCCCATCATGCCTGGCATAGTAGATTGCATGACAGATACCATTGGAAACCCTTGCTGTTGTATAGGAATCATACCTATGCCAGAACATTAAACACTGATTAAGGCCCCAACTGGTTTTAAAGTTCATCTATCAAAATAAAGAGATGCAGCAAAGGAAGGAGTGACTGGCAGTTCTGCTTAAGTTAATAGAAGGACTCATTACTCAAAGGTGATTGGTGCATAGAATGTGCAACAACATAGGCAGCAATAGAAGCATCTGGCATTTTAAGAAAAGACGATTTATAAGCCAAACCACCACCACAAGTTAAGCAAAGGGTGCTCCTTCCATCTCCACTGCTCTGTGGAAGAAGTTTGGGATTTTTTCCCCTTTTTTAAATTTAAAACTCTAGTTTCCAAAAGTACTTGTGCTGGTAGCCCACTCCAGGACTTTCCTGAATGGGTTATTTCTTATAACTTAGTTCATGTGATTGTCTAGGCATTACCGGTACATCTTGTCCATAACTATGCTTTTACATTCTCAGTTGACTGGACAATTTGTGTGCATGCAGGAATGTTGAGCTTACATAAAATATTTAACCAATTGAAAAAAAACCTTTCAATAAATGCTTGATTTAAATAGTATTGGACAAATTATCCAGAAATGTATTAATTCATTGAGTAAAACTAAAACCGGAGATATAATAATTTTAGAATGTTATCTTAGTGGTCACAGACTGATTACAAACACATTTACTACAGGTGAAATACTTATAGCCATGGATAATTTAACATTGCAGATGCAATTGCCTGAGAAAGTATGTAACTGACTCAGGAATTATCACTGAACTTTCAGCAACATATTACTGAGCCAGTCAGTATTTAGTGAATGGATTTCCTTCCACCCCCCTATTTTCCATTAGCTCAATAAGTAACTAACTCAGGAATGAGAATCTAAACTTACTGACTTGCTTTATGTAGAAGTCAATGTTAAGAAATGTAAGGGCAACGAAAATGTTCAGAATCTGAAGTTCAGGCTTACCTTGAGGTGGGCCCATACCTCCTGCTACAGGAAACATGAAGCTGAAAATAAATAAATAAAAGCATGAGGCTCTGATTTGATATCTAAATAATTGCTCAAGACTGAAGCAATGCAAATGCAATCCCAGGTCTTTGACTCCCACTGCAATTCTACATCCCAAACTGCCTCATTTGCTTGTTCCAAAAAGTTTACCCAAGCTGCGAACCAGGGAATTCACCACACAGGCTTCCCTTCTCCATTAGAAATTGAAGCAATTGCTGATGACATTATCAGGAAGGACCCGCCTAAAATTGCTGAAAAAAGGTTCACTGGAAATGTCAGCTCAATAATAAAGTCATTTCAGCAAAACAAAGAAGAACCACACTTTATTTTCTGTAAGGGTGCTGAAAACAGTTTTGAACCATCTATATCACCCGTGGTGATGTAAAATCCCGGTTAATCAGTTAAACCAGGGGCGGAGAACCTTTTTTGGTTCAAGGGCCAAAAAAAAGTCAGGGGCCGCACACAAGAACCCATCCCCCGAAAACCAGCCCTCACCATTGTGGCCCCCAACTGACCAGCAGAAAGACACTCTTCACATTCCTCTCCCACACCAAGGCCTAGGGGGCCCAGCATAGCAGATTTTCTGTGCTCTAGCCCCGTGGTAGGACAGCAGAGGAGCTGGAGTGCCAGTGCAGGCTCCTCAATGCTGGGGGAAGGAGGCTGCCCTGGGCCTCAGGGGCTGGATGTAGGCAAGCTGACAGCCGCATCCTGCCCCCCGGCCTGAGGTTCCCCACCCGAGTTAACCTTCGGTTTAACCATGGATCCCAGAGGGGACCACTCCAGCCTGACTGGAGTAGTCCTCAGACCATAGGGCTGCCAGGTCCTGCTCCTGATCCCACTGCACACAGGACTGCTTGTTGCTGCTTCCAATCCCCCTCCCCACATGCTGGCAGTAGCCAGCTCCTGACCCCCAGGGGGCTGGAGCAGCCCTCCGCTCGTGGTGGGGGGCTGCTCCCAGGTACCATTACTTGTTCATATCGTCGCTAATTACCAGTAGAACTGTTTTCAACATCAGCTAAAGTTGTGTCAGTAAAGGATCAATTACCTAATGGGGGCAAGGCCTTTCAGAGCTGCAGCATGAATAAATATCCAGAGTCAGCAGGATCGCTACCTGCATCAGAACAGTTTTTCCCATAGTGGAATAAACGATCCAAGAAAAAAAAAAAAAAAAAGGGTTTTTTCCTACATAGGAATTAAAAGACAATGCAGTGTCCACTTCCTGCTCTTTGCATTTTAACTTTCCATTGCTCACATTTAAAGGGAAATAATTATTCTGAAGGGGAAACACATTCCAGGAAATATGAAAGAACAAGAGCACCACAATAAAAATCAAGCTTAAAAATGCAGTTGAAATTAAAAGTGCAATGTCTTGTCTCCACTTTGAAGTAGAAACATCAGTTGTGCTAGAGAGAAAAAAGGAATCCTAGTTTAGCCATTCTGTTTGCAAGTCACTCTCAAATACCCACGTCAGCAATAATTTACCAACCAAGCACCTTCTTCAGTGCCCCACCAACCTCTTACATTACAGGGTATGCAGAGAGATCTTACAGACATTCAATATCTCTGAGCCCAAGTGGGTTAGTCAAGAGGCCATGTGACAGACTAAGGAAACAAAGTGGAGAGGGAATGACATTGCAAAGATCTGCTCATAAAGCTTAAATATCTATATTGAATTCAGAAACCTCTTGGCTACATCTACACTGGCCCCTTTTCTGAAAGGGGCATGCTAATTTTCAACTTCAGAATAGAGAAATATCCCCCACGGGATACTTTGAAGTAGGAATAAGAGATCCTCCGGAATAGGGCTTTATTCCGGAGGATCGGGCCAGTCTAGACGCTTTTTTCTGGCTTTTCCCCAAGCCGGAAAAAAGTGGCGGACATCTTTATTTAAATCCCGCGGGGGATATTTAAATCCCCCGCGGATTTCCCTATTCTGAAGTTGAAAATTAGCATGCCCCTTTTGGAAAAGGGGCCAGTGTAGACGTAGCCCTTGTGTTTGGTAAATGTAAAAGAGCTGGATGCCTTATTGTACTTGTGTGCTCTTACTACATGTATTGTAGAGTTCAATCCTAATTAGGTACAACTGAGAACACACAGTATGTTTCAACCAAAGCAAACCGTATTACTCTTTATTTCTGGTCCCTACTCCGTGACTGGGGATTAAGTAATACAACTAATAATTAATATAATTTCAAATTTGAACTCATGATACTCTTAGCTCTTCAGCTTTTCATTCTGCCTAACCATTAGGCCACACATTAATTTCTGTACCCTACTAAAGATATGTTAGTAAGTCTGGCCCTACCACCACCACAGCTTGGGGGTTCTTTATTAATAAAAGTGTCTCCCACGGGCCCTGTGGAGAGTGATCTGCATAGGCACAGTTTGCCAAATCTAGAACCAGGCACTGGGATTGGACTGCTTGAGTAGAATTCAACCCAGGTCAGTGGTCACCAAACGCTGTTATTAATTCATAAATGTGCAGTGACCTATGTGAAATAAGCTTGGTTGCCTCAGCCCAGCTTTGGGTGGAGGGGTGCTGACATAATAAAAAACACAACAGGCATTAGCTGGCAATCTTGTCTCAAATCACAGCAGAGGGGCCAACAAATGAACTCTTCTCTTGCTCCTAGTTGGAGTTCCCTATAGCAGTGTTTCTCAACCACTGGGATGAATACCCTTAGGGGTACTTCAGAGAAGTCGAGGGGGTACGTCAACACAACTAAAATTTGGAGAAAACTGAATTTTTAAGTTTTACAGAGCTTTATAATTTTTGTACTTTTTACACCCAAAAATTTCATCGTCCACCTGGTTACGATTAAATTGTTTAAAAAAAATGTGTTGCAATGGTAGAAAAAAAATGTTTGTGTCTGAAAACTGTATGTACTGGAGGTACTTATACTTTTTTTCTTTTTTGAAAAAGAGGTACTTTATAAAAAAAGGTTGAGAAACACTGCCCTATAGATCAAGGCCGAGTCATATTGACAGAACATGGGGCAAGCAGATCGCAGCTGAGTTTTGCTTCAGCTGTGGATTGATATTTTGAGTTTCCACAGTTGCCAGGATGGCACTTTTTGCCAACAACACACTTTCACAGAAGCTCAGAAATATCCAGTTTCTGACCTACACCCATCACCTTTCCCTCATGTATAAATTATTCATTCCAGGGTCCAATTTACAGATGAATAGAAGAAATAAATGAATTATTAACTTAATTAATGCTACTTTAGAGCTATACATTTTGAGGTAGCACTTGTATCAAAGAGAGTATCCTCAGCTATGTAAAATTATCCCCTTCTTCTACCTTGTGAAGATTCTGGTGGTAGAAATAAGATTCTGTTCTAGTTTAACCAAAATGCAATGTAACCTGGGCAAGCACGATAAGATACCAGCACATGTTGTAAGGAAATAAAGGTCATATCATTAAACATTTATCCCTTTCTAGAGTTAAGTAGTGATTTATTTATAAGCTTCTAAAATAACCCCAGCTAATTACAGGCTGTCAGAACTAAACAAAAATGAAAAAGTTGGTTTCTCTAGTGCAAAATTCTGAATGCGTTTTAGGAATCAATGTTGACTTTGTTCAGTCAAAGTTTGAGATATACATTTGGCTACTGTTTAGCAATATTAGTAAAATTTAGGAATTTTGGTATGGAAGATGTATATTTATACATACACTGAAGTGTTATAGAACTATTCAAAGACACAGTGGGAGCTGAGAAATTGTGCTGAGGGCAAGGGCAGCATGCAAAGCCTCGCATTCCCCCCATCCCCAGTGCACCACATGGAACAGCCAGCCACTTTGAGCAGTCTGGGGCTGCTTGCAGGCAGAGAAGCCTGCCTGAGTCCTGCCAGCTGGTTGCTACTTAGGTAAGTACCTCCAGGCCAGAACCTGCCTCTGTCACCTCACCCCTTCCCACATCCCAGCTCCCTCCCAGACTCTAAACCCCTCCTACACCCATCATCCAGGGCAGAATCCTCTTCTGCACCCAGACCGCCTCCCGTACTCTGCACCCTAATTCTCTGTCCCAGGTCACAACTGACTCCTTCACCCAAACTCTCTCTCAGACCCTACAACCTCTCCTGCATCCAGAGTCCTAACCTGAGCTCCCTTCTGCACCCAACCTCCACCCCAGACTCCTGCACTCCTTCCATAGAACAGTGCAGCCCTTGACTACTGACCAAAATCTTGGAGTGACTCCCCCATCACAAATTATTGCCCACCCCTGTAACAGCCTATGGTTCCATTTTATTTATAAAATACAGATTACAGCTCTTTTCCATCAGACATGCTCTTTCACAATAGCTTCATGATCAACATTACTCTATGCAGTAGTATATAATGTATTTGTAAATATTTCAACAGCATTCAACATAGGTTCTAAACACGTATACTTATGGAAGCAGCAAGTAATACTTTTAAAGACACGGCACTAAAATACAACATACACAGAAACACACAGGTACCATGCACTGTATATGACATGACAAACAGAAGTGTGGTTAAAAAGCATTATGTAAAAAACCAAAAAGTGAAGACTGATGTGGCAGATGTCAAAAGCGATAATATCTTACAGAAGTTCCTGGGAAATCTTTGACAATAGTTGCAATGCCATTGCGAGTATCATTTTAATATTAGTGTATCAGTCAACAGAAAGCTTCTCATCATAGGTCTCTAGTTTCTAGTACACGACTCCAGCAATAAGCTTCACTCAAATAGCAGGAAAAAGAAAAAAAATCATTTTCTTTTGTATTTGGATTTTATTATGAAGAATTCACAGTGAAGAATTCTAGAACAAGTCTTTCCCCAACACAAACTCCTAGAGTTTGTCTACAGTTAAGTGTTTTTGTATCCATAATTCCCAATGAGTACAGAACCTGTAAAGCAGCAGCATTGACAAGGTGAAGGTATTTTTCACACATATATCTAACTCAGAAGTCCCAAGATCAAAGCGAAACTAATGATAAACTATAGTGAAACTGACTTAGTTGATTTCCATTGCCTAAGCTCAGAAAACTGAATAAAGCTAACAAAAAGCATAGAAACAAGTAAATATGAAAGGATCCCAAAATTCCTTTTTCACAATCTAGGGCAGGGTTTCCCAACCTATGGGTCGAGACCCAAATATGGGTCACCATTACATTTCAAAAGGGTGGCCAAGTGTCTCCCCAGGTGGCTCTGCCCCCTCTTCTCCCCCCATTTTTGAATTGCCTTGGGTCACCAAGTCTTCCTGAATTGTCAAAATGGGTCCCTGTCTGGAAAAGGTTGGGAACTTCTGAACTAGAGTTTCATTAGTAAAGTAGGTGTTTACAAAAGCAGAAATGTTTACAATGTATAATTCTAAATTGACAGCACTGCTGTAAAGAAAGACTGCATGTTTAAGCAGCAACTCAGAATAATTATATTTTGGATTTTTATAGTGTTGCACTTCTCATCCTGCAGAATTCTGAAACACCTTACAAATTACATACCCAGGAGATCTACTGATATCCAGACACTTCTAATGTGGCAACCTGGCAGACAGCTGGAGGAAAGCATCCTATCTAAGTATGTAGGTGTGTGATTTTGATGAAGATCACAGAGACAATTGCCTGCTTCTACAGGAAATGCAATGGATCACTGATGCCAACACAAAGCAGGTAGGATTTTACTTACATATCCAGGAACACCAGATTAAACTTCATGTATCAAAAGTGGACTGACTCAGTCCTACGGCTCTGTCCTTCCTTAGAAAAATGCTATAACCTTAGGCCCTATAAATACTTCACTTAAACAGAAAGCTCTAATCAATTCCCAATTCAAAAGGAAAAATACAAAGATTAGCCTCCTATCCCACCCAAAACGCAAGAGGCTGTAATATTGCTCATTTTCTAATTTCTTCCTCTCTCATCATCACCACTCTGCAATTCTCATGTACTTGCTGACAGCAATAA